CTTGTCAGTGTTGAATCCCATCCTGTTCTCGTCCGCCCACCCCTGTAACCTGTCTAGGTCCGATTACAGCCTATTTCTTTCTTCTAACATGCCCACATCCCCCCACACCTTAGTGTCATCAGCAAATTTGAACAGGTGCTTTTTACCTCCTCGCCCAAGTCACTGATGAAGATGTTGAATAGTGCGGGCCCGAGGACCCCACTGCCCACATCCCTTCAGGTCGAAAATGCCCCATCCACCACCACTCTCTGGTTGTGGCCCTCCAGCCAATTGGTGACACATTTGACTGTGTGGGTGTCGACACCACAGTCCTCCAGTTTCTTAATGAGAACGGGGTGAGAGTCAGTGTCAAAGTCTTTCTGGATTTTTGGAAGGCTTATGTCCACTGCTACCCCTGCGTCTAAGGATTTGGTGACCTGGTCGTAGAAGGCCATCAGGTTGGTCTGACGGGACCTGCCTCTAATGAACCTGTGTTGGTTGCCCCTAAGGATAGTTTCCCCCCCCCCGGCCCCTCGTGGACATGTGCCAGAATAATTCTCAAAAAGCTTACCCAGGATTGAGGTTAGACTAATTGGCCTATAGTTCCCCGGGTCCTCCTTCCTCCCTTTTTTGAAGATGGGAACCATGCTGGCCCTCTTCCAGTCCTGTGGTGCCACACCAGAGCACCACAAGTGCTCGTAAAGCTGTGCCAGGGGTCCCGCAATGACTGCAGCTAATTCCCTCAGCACTCAGGGGTGGAGATTGTCCAGACCAGCTGATTTAAATGCATCCAGTCCCCCCAGAAGTTCCCTAACTAGATCCTCCCTGACCCTTGGCCTAGGTGCGCCTCCCCTGGAGCCTGAGAGGGGCCTGGTGGGGGGGCTTATCTGGTCCCTGCTCAGGAAAATGGAGGCAAAGAAGTCGTTAAGAAGGCTGGACACGAGGAAGGACTTCTTTACTGTCTGAGCCCCCACAGCCTGGAATAGATTGTCACCAAAGGTGGTTCAAGCACCTACCTTGAATGTCTTCAAGAGAAATTTGGATGCTTATCTTGCTGGGATCGTATGACCCCTGCTGACTTCCTGCCCCTGGGGCAGAGGGCTGGACTTCATGATCTTTTGAGGTCCCTTCCAGCCCTAACATCTATAAAATCACAAACCCTTTAAATGTTAAATAGTAGTGCATTATATAATATCAAATACAGTGGTTTTAAATTGGGACTCTGCTTTTTTGCAGCTTGATATTCATAAATTGCTGCTTATATTAAATTTGTTCCATTTAAAAAAAATGATTTTTTAAAAAGTAAGTAATGCAGACTTCATTATGTGAATTTCTGAATTGGATTGCAGGTTTTCTTTGGCTTATTAAAAGAGCCAGAAATTGAAGTCCCTTTGGATGATGAAGATGAAGAAGGGGAGAATGAGGAAGGAAAACCAAAAAAGAAAAAACCGAAAAAAGATAGTGTGGGATCAAAAAGTAAAAAACAAGACCCGAATGCTCCTCCACAGAACAGGTGACTTGTTTAAATCTGGTCTGCTTCTTGCTGATTTTTGGATTGTTTGCTTTTCAATATCTCTGCTACATTTTTTAGTCTGGTTTTAAATGAGGCTTCTGTTACTTTCTTTAGGAGACCTTTTCATTGGCCAAAACACCTGCTCCTTGGGAAGATTTTTGATTTGTGCCTTTTGTTTTTATATTCAAATTTTATTTGCATTATCCAATAGCTTGTTCATTTCACACTCAGCAATACTTGTCTCTCCTTCATAGTTATCGCTCAGATGTTCCTAGAATTATGAGATCTTCTCCGCCCCCAACTTCTAAACCAGGGGTGGGCAAAATGTGGCCCATGGAGTGGATGCGGCCTGCCAGGCCATTCTATCTGGTCTGTGGGGCCCCTAAAATTTTTAGAAAATTAATATTTATCTGCCCCTGGCTGCCTGTCATGCAGCCCTTGATGGCTTGCCGAAACTCAGTAACCGGCCCTCCGCCCGAAATGATTGCCCACCCCTGTAATCTAAACTATATGTATCAAATTAAATGAACCGTTTCCTTTTAGTCATTCCTTCCAAACCCCCATATTTTACTGTTTGAAGTTCTACTCCTACCTTCCATTCTGGCAGTGATATTACCCAGGCATTACTGCTGTTACTTCATGCAATGGTTCCATCTCATGGGAGGCCCCCCATCTCAGTCCTTGACTCCATGGACCACAGCCACAGCATGCTCCAGTGCACCAATCCCACAGTGCTGCCATCACAAATTAATGTGATTTAAGGCAGTCCTACTCCATTTCTTGTAGAATTCCTCTTCCTGAACTGAAAGACTCTGACAAGCTGGATAAAGCAATGAACATAAAGGAAGCCACAAAGCGTGTGCGTCTTGGCCCAGACAGCTTGCCTTCTATCTGTTTCTACACATTCCTTAATGCTTACCAGGTTAGTAAAGGTGGCTTTGGTGCCATAAGATAAGGAGTCAGAAATGATTATAGAGGCCATAAACATCTGGTGTAAGGAAATCAAGCGATCAAGGTGTTACCCTAAATTCTAGGGCTTGATGCTGGGGTGGGATTAAACATTATTTCATAGTAGTTTTTGCCTTCTCATAGAAATTATTTTCTTGGCACTTAAGACCATAAACTTGGTCACTGAGTCACACCTGTATATCTTAATTTGACCCAACTGAAAAGTCTTATGAACATACATAACAGGGATTACTTAAGGGGAAGTATGTTCATAGTACCAGAAAATTATTTGGAATAAGCCATTTCTCTAGTTATTTCCAATTAGGTATAATGCAATGAAAAACTTAGACTCAAAGTCCAAATGAATGAAACTGAAGGCTTTCTTAAACCACCTTAGCTCCACTGCCTGTTTTGCTTAGTTATTGCTGTATCTTTTGTTCCTCTAATTTGTTCTAAGCATGTGAGTAGGGGGCAGTTCTACCTAATGTAGCGTATCCTGAATACTGCAGATCAGGGGTGTCAAACTCACCTTGCACCCCAGGCTGGATCCAGACCACAGGGCTCCTTGAAGGCCAGATCTGGGGTAGTTCCAGGCTGGATACACAGTGGTGTGAGCAGCTCTGGCTATGACCTAAGGCACAAGACAACAAGAGCCGCAGTTCTGGCATGGGGCACACAGTGTAGCTCTGCACCCTGCCCCATGCTGGAGCTGCTGTCACCGTATGTCCTGTACTGCTGCAGCAGCTTTAGCTCCTGCGTGGGGCACACAGCAGCTCCAACATAAAGCGGCAGGCCCAGCGGCTGAGGAGGTGGATCTGCAGCAATTGGTCATGGGCAAAGCAGCTGAAGGGTGATCAGGGCTGGATCAACCCTCGCTTGCCCTTCTGCCACCAATTTTCTGTGTCAGCTGAATTCTGTAGTAGGCCATTCCTTCCTCTGTCCCTCTTCCCCCATCCCAAAATTTAGGAGGCCCCCTAGTAGGCCAGTGGGCCAGGTAGAACAGCTCTGTGGGTCGAATCTGATCAGCCAGCCATAAGTTTGACACCCCTGCTGTAGATATAATGTACTGGAATGTTTGTGAACAATTTTGTTGTTTTGTCTTTTAAAATAAGTGTAGTTATGCATATCTTTATTTTAAATGGTACAACTTTTTGTAGCAGTTATTTGCTAGGTTTTCAAATTCTTATGCATTCTGTCTTAAGGTAATCCCCTTTTTTTATACAAAATGGAGGTAGGGCAGTTACAGGATTTTCTAGTGTTTGAACTTTGTAATTAAAAAAATTCATTAACTTTTAAAATAAGTAACTTTTTTGTGTACAGGGTCTTACTGCAGTGGATATCACAGATGACTCTAGCATGATTGTAGGAGGCTTTGCTGACTCCACTGTCAGAGTGTGGTCTGTGACACCAAAAAAGCTACGCAGTGTAAAAACAGCAGCAGGTAATGAAGGCAAGAAGATACGCTCATCCTAAGTGTTAATTCTGATAGAATTCTATGTTTTTGCAACCTGTGCAGAGGGAGGTAACTTTGCAGGGCAGCTTTCTTAACTCATTGGATGTTGTTAGTTTTGGCTTCTACTTATAAAGCAAATAACATACCATTTTTTTAATATTTGGATGGACTTTGTTTAGGTAGTGTATAATGAGCAGAATCAAAAACATCTCCAGAAATTTGTATTCTGACACAGTTACAGAACAGAGAAGGTACACTAGACAGCTGATGAGGGAATATAGTTTCATTGTAGCCCTATTTCAGCAAGATACTTAAACATGTGTCTCGCTGAATAACAATATGTATTTGGAATGACTAATCAGAGTTTGTAAATCTTAGGACTTCTGGGTTGTGTAGATAAATAAATAGTATTTTGGAGAGCTTTGTAGAGAAGCTGTGCTACAGAGGAAGATTTCTCAAGCACGCAGTTTGTGGTATCCTATAGATTGAAGGCCAGTGTCAGCTGTTGGGTGTATAGCAGTCATAAGTTCTTGAAATCTAAAAACATGGGTGTATGTACATGAATGCTCATCTTCAGCAGGGGTGTCAAACTCTCCTTGTGCCTCCGGTCAGATCCAGGCTGCAGGGCTCCTTGTGGGTCAAATCCAGCCCGGGGCATGAGGAAACAGCATTGGCAGCTCCAGCTCTGACCTGGAGCATATGGTGATGAAAGCTCCAGCTCCTGCCATGTGCTCTGTGCCGTGGTGGCAGTTCTGGCTCCGGCTCCATTTTCAGCATGGGGGACACAGCAGGGGCCAGCAAGGTAGGGCCATGGCAGTGGTGACACACGAAGCGGCCAGTGGGTGACCATGGCTGCATTGACCCTTGTTTGGCATCCTGCTGCTGATTGTCATGTCCATCAGGGCCCGATTCTGCAGCAGGCCATTCATCCCTGGTCATGTCCCCCAACTTTTGGTGGCCTGCTGGTAGGTTATCGGGCTGGAAAGAACTGCTTTGCGGCCCGGATCCAGCCCATGGGCCATGTGTTTGACACCCCTGATTTACAGCATCTTTTCCCAATTGATGTGTAGGGTAGTATATTGCTGATTGATATGAAGAACCTGTCACTCCATTCTTGAATTACCTTCATAGCCAAGCTCATATTACCTTTTATAGCAGTTTCCTTTACAGTAGTCCTAAGGAAATAGTTCAATTGTGCTGTATGTAACTTCAAGCTTAAAACCTGACATCTGATTTTTAAGCTTCCCTGCTATTCTATATTTTGGTATAAGTGTTCAAACTGACCACCAGTATTCAGGAAGAATTTTTGTTTCACTTCATACTTGCAGAGAACAGCAATAAAAACCGTATGTTCTGCTTAAAAGATGTACCTATTTTTGCATAAATGTAAGTAAATGTGCTCAGCTTCTGGCAATCATTATATGTGAAATCTGCATATTTGCTGCAACTATGAACCTTTGGAATTTTACAGATCTCAGTCTCATAGACAAAGAATCAGATGATGTCTTGGAAAGGATCATGGATGAGAAGACAGCAAGTGAGCTGAAGATTTTATATGGTCACAGTGGACCCGTCTATGGCACCAGCTTCAGTCCTGATAGGTAATATAATTTAAAATTTGCATTGGAGAGGAGGTCTTGAGTTCTAATAAGATGCTTCTTGCTCAAAACTAATTCTTAAAGCAGCTGCTTCCGTAAATTGAGATGAAATTGGTTCATGTGTTTCATAAGAAGCCATGACGGGTGAGTTTAAGGGCCTGATGTTTTGAGGCTCATGTGTGTGTTGTGTGGGTACTGAGCATCTTCAGTGTAGCTTGACATCAGTAGGAGCTAAGAACACCCAGCAACTGGCAGGTTCAGGACTTAAGAGTTTCCAGTTTCCTATCTTACTTGAAAGCCTTATGTTAAGTTTGATTTTAACTGCATAAACAAACTGTAAAAGAGAGACCGATCATTGCAACTTTTATATCCATTACGGCAATGCAGAGATGAACAATTTTGTTAGCATCTACACCTATTGATGCGTTTCTAGTCTGCTTCCCACTAGAGCCTCCAGTAAGTCTTAATTTTCCAGATCATGTGATCATGGTAATCTCATAGTCTCTTAAATACAGTAAAGTCCCTGTTATCTAGCATGAGTGGGGAATATCAGGTGCCAGTTATGTAAATTCTGGTTATCTGAGGCAGATGACGGGGGGGGGTGGCAGTGGCTGGATATGGAGCAATGGCAGCTGCCACGTAAGACCTTCTCCTGCCCCCTGTGGCTTAGCAGGTGGTGCCTGCGTGGGATGGTGTATGGCGGTGCTCCATCCCCGCCTGCCCATGTGTGCCCCCTAGGGCCTTCTCAAGTACCCCGTTCTATGGGAATCTTTTCGTATAGCCAAGGGTGGCATTTCTGAAACCAGTTCTTGAACAGATGCATGTAGTGGTTTATCAATAGCTTTTTGTTTTGAACTGAGAACTGGACCCCTAATTATGACATGCTTCCTTTCATATAGACAAGTACTGCAAATTTGAATAGAATATAAGCAATGGTTTGTCCCTCTTCACAGTAAGTGTCCCAGGAGGATTCCCTCTGAATCGGGTATATCTCAGCCCATTGAGAGTTCAGATTATATAGTACCCTGCAGCACAGTGCAAGCAGATGGATGGTGCTCTTACCCCAAAGACACACCAGTAATCTTGCACTAGACTCCCAGTATTCTGCCTAAGTCATATCCTTTTGCCTTCTGATAGGAACTACCTGTTATCCTCCTCAGAAGATGGCACTGTGCGATTGTGGAGTCTGCAAACATTTACTTGCCTGGTGGGATATAAAGGACACAACTATCCAGTATGGGATACACAGTTCTCTCCGTATGGGTATTACTTTGTATCTGGTGGACATGACAGAGTGGCTCGGTAAGAACCTAAAAGGCCTTTTTACTAGAATTTTTAATAATCCGAGGCCTGGAATATTGAGAGAAACTAACCCTTTAATACTGGTGGCTGGTATTTTCCAGCTCTCATCTTGCTATGGGAAATGAATTTTATTATACTTGGGTTAAAAAATTAAACCAAAAACTGGTGCAGTGTTAGCTGACAGTATCATGACATTATGCTTACAGAGATGGTGTTCCTTTGTTTTCAAACCATCTGGTTAATATGGGAAAATACATTGGTTTTTCTAACATTAAGGGTCAGGGATATGTACCTTTTTCATTGCTTTTGTAATGGTTGCATTGGGATGCTTATTTTCCCCTTAAAGAACAACCTTTAAAACAGGGATGATTTGGGCTGGAGAACCACTTAGAGAGAGTTGGTGAGCTGTTGTGGGCTGGGTCAGCGCCTCTCGCCCCCACTCACAAAAGCTCACCAAAACTCCCTAAGTGGCTCTGCCTCGGAGCCTGGCCCCATGCTGTCACCACCTCAAGATCCAAGCCCTGGCCTTGGAATCTCCATGGAGACTAGGCCAGGACCCACATGGGCAGGGCGCACATGGTGGGGTGGATGGGGTGGGGCCGCAGGCAGGCAGGAAATAGTGTCCAGGAGTGGGATGGGTGGGGCTGAGGCCTGGATCTTGGGGCAGTGACAATGTAGGGTCAGAGCTGGGATCTTGGGGCAGTGACGGTGTGGGGTAGGGGCCTGGAGCAGAGCTGTGGTCTGCTTCTGGCACACTCCTGCCCGTGGAACTAAAGCCTGTTGCAGGGATGTGTTGGGAGCGGATCATGGCTCTGCCCTGGCTCTGCCCATCCCACTCCTAGACACTGCTCCCCGTCCACCCATGACCCTATTGCATCCACCTGGCTGAGCACACCCTGCCTATGTGGGTCTGAGGCTGGTCTCCATAGAGACCTCAGCTGCCTGCTCCATTGTGGTGACACCAGCGGCAGCAGCCAGGAGTTGCCACTGCTGCCAAGGCTGTTGGGAAGCAGAGTCCGGCTGCTGCACTATCACTGCGTGCCCGGAGGCAGCGGGACCAGCCACACAGACCGTGGCCTAGGCTGCTCCCTGCGCCAGGCAGAGCCAAATAAAATCCCTAGACAAGCTGTATCCAGCTTGCAGGTTGCCTTTTGCCCACCCCAGCTTTAAAATAGTCATTGCTAATTGCATAAATCAGTCATCTTGAGGTACCTGAGTAACAAGCACCACATAAGGACATCATGTTTTCAATAAGGGTCTAATTTCTTTATAGTTTTATAAAAAATGCTTTCCTTAAGGCTCTGGGCAACGGATCACTATCAGCCTTTGCGTATATTTGCTGGCCACCTTGCTGATGTCACATGTAGTCGGTTTCATCCCAACTCCAACTATATTGCTACGGGCTCAGCAGACAGAACTGTGCGACTCTGGGATGTTCTGAATGGGAACTGTGTGAGGATCTTCACTGGACATAAGGTAGAGGAGTGTCAAATGTAGAATCAAGGTAGCTGCACTGTATTTCACTAACTTTTCCTACAAGACAATAGTCTGTACTTAATTGATATATGTCTGTAGATCTACACACACACTCTCTCACTCACAATTTTTAATGTTCAGAAAGTGTGTGCCTGTTACTTTAGACCCATTTTAAGTTGTCCCATGAAACAAAGACTTCCCTCCCTTATAAACTTCTGTTCCTGATGAACGACTAGTTTATTTGTGTGTTTGTGTCACTTAAATTTTTAGAGGGTAATCGGGACTCTTAGCAGAGATGATATCTTTTACTAGACCAACAAGTTTTTTGCAAAAAAATAATCGTTAATTTCACAAAATCTTGTTGGTTTAATAAAAGATATCATCTCTATGATGAGTCCTGATTGCCTTTGCCTCTAGGCCAATACGGCTACAACCTAGATACCTGACACATTTTTAGAGTGTAGCATTTGCAGTGAGTACAGCTTGACTTTTTGTAGATGCAGGTAGATTTGTCTAATTTTGCTTCTCCAACTGACTTTGTTCCAGGGACCAATTCATTCGCTGGCATTTTCCCCTAATGGAAGATTCCTGGCCACTGGAGCAACAGATGGAAGAGTGCTCCTCTGGGATATTGGCCATGGTTTGATGGTGGGAGAGTTGAAAGGGCACACTGACACCATCTATGCACTCAGATTCAGTAGAGATGGGGAGATTTTAGCATCAGGTAAAACTTACTGAAATTTTCAGTTTTTCATTCCCCAGTAAAAACAGAGTCTAAAATGGAATGACGTGCTTTTTTTATATAATTAAGATCCTGATCCAAATCTGTCTCCCTTCTCGATGTGAAGGATCAAACTAATACTTAGCAATGTTAATACTTTGTAGTTGTAAAGCAGATACTTTACTAAATTGTTAACATTTAGATTAATTTTAATGTAAGTGGGTAAACCATTAGAATGGGAAATAATCCGGTATTTTATAACTGAAACCAGCCCTAACTGTCAGACCTTTGAAAGTAGATAGAAAGTAGCCTCTGCTGAAAGTAGATAGTAATTGGGGATTTTGTACCACACTGCACATCCACTGTGTGCTTAGTTTGCAGCTAAATTTAGTTCTTTCAATGTCTAAGAATTCAGTAGTTGTTTCAGTGGGGTTTGGATAACACTTCCTTTCCCATGTCAGTGGGTGTGTGGGCCTCTAGACTCTGACTGGCATAAAAAACATCTGACCTTTATGGAGAAAATGTTTTAAAAAGGTCGCAAGGTAAATCTTATAAATCCATGTTTTTCATAGATGTGTGGATGTATAAAGACTAGGGATGTTCAAGTGGTAGGGGGCACCTGACTTCTGAAAAGCTTTACTCTTGAGATACCTTCAGTAGCTGGGAGCTACTTAAATAGTTGTCATTTTCTAGAACAAGAGTACGAATAAAGCACACTTTTTGGCTGTTACAGTTTTTACAGATTTCCTGGAGAATCACTGGTATCTGTCACAAGGATTTTAAACTTGGTGGGTGAGGAAGATAGGACAATGTTGTGTCAAGAATGTACCTCCTGTCATTCCTGGGAGCTTAAATTAGAAATTCATTGCTAAATGTAACTCTAGTAAGACTAGAACGAGCCTCTAACTTAATTCAGTCAAGACTGTCTGAAGAGCAGCTCCTCTTTTAACTATAGAAAGGTGTAGCATTGGACTGTTCAACTTCCCGGCTGCCAGGGGCTGTATGCCACAGGGGCCATATACCTTAGATTCCCAGAACCCCTGCCATGTGCAGCCCCTCACCTTGTTCCTGTTGCTGCCCTGGGAGCTGTGCAAGCCCCTGCCCTCCTCTCCCCTTTCCCTCCACTGCTCAAGCAGGGAGTTTACTGGGCCCTGTCCTATAGAGCTGCCCTGCTGCAGACCCCAGCCATCCCCACACCATTAGAAGCAATGGGAGGAATAATGGCTAGAAGTAGCCCACGAGTCATGCGTTAACCCCTCCCAGAGGCCACCAGTTGGATACCCCTGGACCATGTTAAGGCTGTAATCGTGCAAACATGCACTTATGAATAATGTGCTTGAAGTCCATTTGCTTGCAGTATTTGGGTGTAAAGCATTAATGCTTTGCCCCATCCTGCAGTGGCTGAAGAAACAGTGTTTTCCAGCCTTCATTGCTGCCAGGTTGGTTGCAGCCTTGTCTTGGCATCATTTCAATACAATTATCATTCACTGCTGCTATGGCTTCGGTAAGGGCATGGAGGAAAATGTTGCTGAACGTTCCATTTTCTGTGTATTGCTTTTTAACTCTGCCCTGCGCAGGACCAAGGCTCTACATTTGTAATTCCCCACTTTGTTCTTAGGTTCTATGGATAACACAGTCAAACTGTGGGACGCTGTGAAAGCATTTGAAGACTTGGAAACTGATGATTTTACAACAGCCACAGGACACATAAATCTGCCTGAAAACTCACAGGACTTGCTACTGGGTACTTACATGAGCAAATCAACCCCAGTCATACACCTTCATTTTACACGGAGAAACTTGCTGCTGGCTGCTGGAGCGTACAGCCCACAATAAACATGAAGCTGTGAAAGAGGCTGTGCAAGTCACTAGTAAAGACCTCAAAATGACTACCCGGATTTGAGATAAAAGAAATCTCTTGTACAGACAGACTGTGCCTGGTCAGTTGGGGCGGCAGGATTATGTAAATGAATATGCAGGTAATGTCTTCTCAGTTCTGCTATTTCATTTTTAGCCACAGCTTGAAAATGCTGGAAAATGATTAGACATTGTGGCTTTACAGGAAAGAATTGTTTTATGGTGCTTTGGATTTTTTGATAAAATACAAAAACAAGAAAAAAGAGAGAAAATGGCTGTCTCCTATTAAGAGAAATGGTAATGGGCTCTGCTGGAACATCATCTTTGGAAAGTTAACAGCACCTCAGTAAGCGTCTTGAACATTTTAAAAAGCACTTAATTTATAGCTGGGATTTTGTGGAACTCGCCTTAACATGGGCTGGGCAGCAGGTTTGTCTGGCTAGAACATTATCCTACTTGTTGCAGAAGGCACCATACACAGAGGCTTGTAGTGAACTAAAAATTTAATATATAAGCACACCTTTGTATAAAGGTCTGACTGTGTTTCAAACCTTTCCTGTTTCCTGCATTAGAAATACAGATCTGGTCACTGCATCTTCAGGTAGGTTAAGGTGTTATGACTAGCAAGTAGCTAGATGTAAAATCTGAACATCTGCAAAAGCAAAGAGACAAGGGACTGAGACAACTGAAATACTTTTACTGCCTATTAAAACATGCTCTCCGAAGGGAAAACAGTGGCCTTGTACCCTTTTAGGATACTTAGAGGAGGCCTGGAAAATAATCTTAAAAAATAATAATAATCTCCCTTCCCCCCCTTTTTTTACATGAAATTAAATTTTTGTCACAGCTAGAAAATTTAAGAATGGGGAGAGCCAGTGAAGAGGCAAAAAATGAACCTTTTTATTCCTAATGCTAATATTTGTGAAAAGGCTCTCCCCTCATGCATGCTGTTGTGATGCTGTGTTCACCAGCAAAGGTCAGACCTGACATTCTTGATGTTTCTAAATAAAAAAACCTGGCAGAACAGTAAGCCTTTAACCCCTTTCTGTCTCTATACAGGATGAGGAAGCAAAAGGACACTAGCATGAGTTTAAGGAAACTTGAATAGGAAACTCCCTTCCAACTCATCCCATCCCCACCAAAACACCCAGAAGCTTTCCATGCATTGCATATCAAAAGTGCAGACACATTTCACCAGTAGATCTCACCTTTAAGAACAGGGAAGAATGCTCTGAAAGTAAATGATAATGATCCTGTCTGTTTCATGTAAACTTCCCAACACCAGATACAAGCAGGTGGCTTTTAAGTGAAAGTGTGGCAAAATTGAACAATACATTAAAATACTTTCCCTACAAGAGGAAGCATGTACAGTTTTGACAGCTAAAAAATCACTGCCACTATCTGCCTTTGTATTTTGTACAGTTTTATACTTTTGATATGATAATAAAAACTAAAAATATCATTCTGTGCATGTTTCTGGATTATATTACAAGAGAATTTCTCCCCTCTCAAATTGTTGTAAGTCATGCAGTGCTCTCACAGCTGTACCAGCAAACTACTAAATGAAACAAGGTGATACAATTTATACTGCTACATTTAGGACCAAACTCTACACACAGCCTCTGCCAGTTGGCAACATATGGCCTACAGGCTAGATCCAGCCCATGCAGCCATTGGATCTAGCTTGCAGATATGGGACTTAAGCTGCAACAGCACTCCTTGTGCCACTGCAGAGAGAAGTTCCTGCCTCTGGCCCACAACCAGGAAAGGTTGTTTACTGCTGGTCTGGATGTGGGGGCACCTATACATGAGCAGACTCGGTTAATTGAGTCTGCTGGAGCATAGTAATCACCACTCCACCGTTTTGTGTATCAGTATTCCTGTGCTTAAAAATGGTGTTGGGAGCAATTTATCTAAAGCTTGTTCAGTGAGCTTTAGATAAAACACCTCCACCACCACTTTTAAGTGTGGGGGCACTTCTGATTACAGCAGCTCTTGCAGCTGTTCTAATTAAAAAATGCCCCTCTTTCCACCCCCCACCCCAGCATGTGTCTAGAAGCCTGGATTTCCAGAGTTTTGCCCCAAAAGGCAATTTTAAGGGCCAAGTCCTGGTTGACAGGCTGCACTTTGAGAACCCATAAACTATATTGTTCTTTCTAAAGCATACAATTAATAGTACTGTGTTTCTGTTCCTGTAGGGGAAAGGACAAGAAATAAGAGTCTAAAATTGCAAGGGAGGGAAATTTAGGTGGGATATTAAGATGTGGTGAGGGTGGTTATTCACAGGATATTAGATGTGGAATTTCTATCCTTGGAAGTTGTTTGGACAAATGGTTGCTATGATGGCTTATAGTTCTCCCTGATGCTGTATTACTTCACTGCACTCTCTCAGTAGGATAGTGCTTTACCCTAAAGCAAGACTCCAGACTAACTTGATAAATTTGCTTACTAATCCAGAGCTCAGCTGTTAACAAATGAGCAGATGGACTGGTTACAGCCCAACAGGCTCTGAAGCAGTTGACTGGTCCAGATACTCTCAAAGAATGCAAGGAGGTTTTACTGGACAGTATAGGGTGGTGTTATGTCTGCATGCAATCCCTACTGTGGGCAGGTGACCGCAATCTGTGCTCCAGCCTGGGAGCTCGTATAGCCAGTAACTCGAGTAGAGAGGACCAGAACTGCCCAAGTGAGGCTAGCAGGACAGTCTGAACCAGATCTGGCTTTAGGTGGGGGTTTGCACAACTAGCTGAACACTTCAGATAAAGTGTCTTAACAATGCTTCGGGGGTGTTGGTTGTAGCAGTGTTGGTCTGACATTGGCAGACAAGGTTCTTTGGCTAAATATATTTTTTATTAGACCAACTAAACAGTTGGAAAAATTGTTCTTTGCAAGCATTACAGCACAAACACCCCTCTTCAGGCAGAGGGAAGCTTGGTGCTGAAACAGGCCCAGCCAGAAGTAGAGGGTGCCTCAAGTCTACTGCTCTTCCAGACTTTCACTCCACTGTGGTTGTACCTCACTCTGAAAAGACACACTTGGAAAAGGGTAATAACAAAGATCAGAACACATCCACATTCTTGACTGGCCACCTCATAGTAAACAGGAAGATGAACATCAGTGTTAAAAAGGAATGGGTCAGGGGCAAGTCTCATTACACTAACAGCATACAGGATGACAGTAGGTTCATCTAAACTCTCAGTAAACATGAGCCTAGAGGAAAAAAAAAGTGTATGCATGGTTGTACTAAGAATTTTCATAAAAGGTAATGGCCCTGTACCCAAAAAGTTCCCATAGAGAAATTGAGTTTTCCCTAAAAGTGGTTTCAGGCTATTCAATCAGGTGTTTTTGCTGATCTGATAGCAATCAGGATGCTGCAAAAGACCCAGAGAAGCTCAAGGATTTGAAACAAAAGGACAAAAGATTTGCTGCATATACGTTAGCTCTTTCGCTAGATACCAGGGCCTGGAGCTACCAGTTAACACAAACGAAGACAGCAGAAGATTCAGGACCTTTAAATTGATTCAAGTGGTACAGAAAGACCTTATTTACAATGAAGTGCAGACATTAGCTACTTGCAACCAGGACAACTTTTGAAGTTACATTTACATGCAAGTTTTTTCATGGTTGAGGTGCTACTCATATTCAGTACTGATTTTAAGATGCTATTAAATCGAACAACCTTCTGTCAGCTGTATGCAGTCAGTCTGTTTAATACAAACATCCATGAGCAGAACAAAACTTGACCTCCACTGGGAAGGATGTATATAGTTTTGACAACTGAGAGTTTACATTTCTGCTTTCTTGTACCATTTTTGTACTGTGGACATCAGACAAACAAGTCACTATTCATAGTTTATTGAACTGTACATAGTAGGGCATCCACTCTTGCTTCCATTGAAACACCATGTGATGGGAGCTTTAGGCATGGCAACCTGCCAAGAGAAGGGAAATTGATTTAACACTGATAAGTGGTTGAAGCAGTAGCAATTTTGGCAGTGCTACTAGCAAAAATAATCTCCTCCTCACCCCCTTCTTTTTCACCTGGCCAGTTCCATCCCTACTCTTACCCCTTCCATCTTGGCATGCAACATTCTCTCCACCACCCATAATGGTTCTCAGTCACCATCTGTGTATCCCAAGGGATGACAAGGTCGAACGGTCATAAACTACTGCAAGACCGTTTCAGGCTGGACATAAGGAAGAATTTCTTTACCATCCAAGCCTCCAAGGTCTGGAACAGCCTGCCATCAGAGGTGGTTCAAGCACCTACACTGAACACTTCAAGAGTAAATTGGATGCTTATCTTGCTGGGATTCTACGACCCCAGCTGACTTCCTGCCCTTTGGGTGGGCAGCTGGACTTGATGATCTTCTGAGGTCCCTTCCAGCCCTAATGTCTATGAAATCTATAAAACCTCTTCCCCCTGCCCCCACAATCTGGCTCAGATCAGTTTTGCATTTGAAACAGGCAGCTTCCTCCTTCACACTTGCCTGGGAGGAGGGCATCATCAAGAGCACAGCTTCCTGCTCTCACTTCAGGAGCCTACCTAGCAGGCAGGGCTTCCCAGTGCTTACTGAAACTATACAATTTAACTGCTTGAGTACAACCATCTGTGAGCTGCAATTTTTTTTTAAGGCAAAAACCTGAAGTTTCCACAGTACAGCAAAGGGCACTGCTCTAAGACAAAAGGTTATTTATTGCCTAACAAATTTAAATCTTCCACTTCAAAGTACAGGGGCACTCAAGCTTGAAAGAAAAAACATGTTCCAGAATTCCCTTCAGTATTGACAATATGGTTTTCCTATTCTTGTCTTAAGAAATAGTTGGCATTTTCCTATTCTGTCAGAAGCAAGGTTCTTTGTGAGAAAAGCTTCAGATCAATTATCTTATGCACATCACACAGATTCTCCAATTGAATGCATTAATTGGTCAGTAACAGAGCTACCAGCCCCACCTGCAATCCCAGGGCACTGGAACAACATTATGTTTTTCACCCAAGTCAATGTTAAGACCTCCACAGAGAAACCTGGCACATCTGCTTTGCATTTTTATTTACTAATGCAGGACAGGACAGCCAAATTGTGAACTGATTAAGCCAGAGTAAAAGCTAGTGAATTCAGCTTGGAGTTTCTAGGAGTGCTGGACACACTGGCAAGGCAGCAAAAAAGCTGTTTGAAAACTCCCGGTTTGAATCACTTTTGGATGTCAGTGGTTTAAATGACTAAAAAGAAAAGAAACCCCTCCCTCTTTAAATCAATTTAGTTTATATAGCAACTCTTTCTATTCACTATTTGCTAACTGATCAGCCACTTTAAAATCCCCTTGAAAAGCTTACCTCTTTCACAGTGCTTGCAATAACCCAGCTGAAAGTGTGTTTTCTTCATTTCAAAACTTTAACCAAACCATAACATATGCATGCCTATGCTTAGCAACCATGTAATTCTAACCTAGTGACATGGATAGCTTCTCCCTCTTCATCACACCACTGAAGCAGACAGGAATTGATGTTGGCACTAGAAGAGTTCCAGCCCACTTACCGCTCTATTTCTCCATTACAGCTGGAGCCTTTTTTTTAGGCCTTAGCTTGAAGTACAGGATAATTGCTGCGAGGGTGCTATATGTGGCTATTACACACTGTGGGGAGAAAAAAAAAAAGTGAAGCTTAAATTCATTCTAAAGTACACTGGAAACTCAATGGCTAAGGGTAGATCAGTGAGTACATACATTCTTCCTGCCTGTCAAGGTGTAGGAGTTGAAGTATTTCTGAAAGCCAGTGAACTGGTGCTGATTTCCTGCATCATGTCCTGCCATGGTTTCTTGTCCTGGATGCAGCAATGGAGTAGTTAATACATCTTTCTATTCCACTGTATCTGCTTGATAGTTAAATGGCTACTTAATCAAGGCATTAAAGTTGCTATTAGTGCTTTCAATAATGATGCAAGTAGTACACCAAGGTGCATTTAGAAGTGGCATATCTAAAAACTGAAAGCAGAAACTGGCTAAGGGGGAGCTTTCAATCTGTATACAAAAGCAGATTTAAAAAATGAGAGAAACAACCTGGCTTTTTCTCCTTCCATCCTCTAAGTAAAGGATGCATGCTGGAGATGGGCTAGTAGAAAAATTAAAAACAAACAAACAAACAAACCCCATATTCTACCTAGGGGAGCACCAATAAATAATTTTTTTGGGGCCGATACTGATGACTAATGATTATAATGAGCCATGTCAGCTGATACCGATCCAATTGCCCATATGCGGCCTGGCAGCTTCTGGCTGGTAAGTGTAGGGAGGGAAGGGGCAGATTCATAGACTGCAAGGGGCTGGAAGGGACCTCAGAAGATCATCAGGTCGAGCCCCCTGTACCAGGCAGGAAAAACAGATGGGGTTGGGTGGCCCCACGAAGATTTCCAGGGTAGGCAACTGCACCACTTCTAAAGGGAGCTTATTCCCCAATCTGGACACCCTGACTGCGAGGAAGTTTTTCCTGATGTTGAGCCTGAAACAGTCTTCCAGATAGAGGCCGCTACAGTGAGGGAGGGAGTAGAGCAGGGGGCAGGTGCAGTCCAGCTGGGGCATGGGACCGAGCGCCAAGTAGCTTGTTTGGGAGGCACAGGGGGCAGCTCCCACCACCACAAGAGGCATGTGGCAACCAGATCTGTGCGTTTTATTGGATAGACCAATGTATCGGTACGCTTCTAGTTGCAACACAAAAAGATCTGGATTTTAAGAGTTCTTTGGAGTAAAGTTTCTAGAAGTAGACTTGCATTGTACATACCGTAGCTGCAACTAGGCCTAGATGGGAAGAATGAAAGTCCCTTTGCGAATCAACTCGTCACAACCCAGGCGAGAGTCTGCTCTTTCCGTTCAGGGCCCATGGCGCTAGCCACCCTACGAAGCTGCCCGATGAGACCATGAAAAGGTCACCGTTACATTTCGCTACACTTCAGCCCCCAGCTCTGCCTCAAGGTTTGGAGGAGATGGTGACATAACTTGCACATCAAAACAAACTCAAACTGGGTCCCTAGGACACAGGGACGTGCACCATTAACCTCACAGCTTGGCTCTGGGGCACGTTTTCATTTACTTTCGTGGTCAACTAACAAAGTGCTATACCGATAAACTAGTTTTGTTGAGGGCTCCTAAAACAAAAAATATCACCACTCCAACTCTCCTACGACATGAAATTAACCAGCGCAGCAAACTCCAGTGTGCATTTACAAAAGCTTAATATTGGAGAAGGGAAAAAACAAACCAAAAAACCCAACACAACAACAACGAAGGCCAGGAACAACAGCTTGAGATCAGGCCATTATTCTTCCCAGCCTTTACTTCCAAACAAGGATGGCGTTTGGGCAGGACTGGGGCAGCATCGCTGTCAGTCGTACACAGACTGGAACGAACGCGCGCCCGCGCTTCCCTCCCTGCTGCCCGTGTCCCAGGAAGTGTCCCGAGCGGGCTCCCATACTAAGGCGGGCCTGTAGATATGCCTGACAGGCCTCAGCTTCTCCCGCACACCCGACCTACGCCCCAGCTCTGGCAATCTACCAGACAAGACGGGGAGCTGAAGGCCGCTCTCCAACCCACCTCCGGCTCCTCTCCTCCACACTGACCTCACCTACCGCTCCACCGCTCCGTGTCCTTCCCCGACAAAATGGCAGCACCCAGACGTCCCACTCGCGTCTATTTCCGACCCCCTCCCTTTGTGCCGCTCTTGCCTCGCGCAGCGGACATGACGTCACAAGGAGCCGCGGATTGGCTCCGGGACAGCCGCTTGACCTTTGTCTTCCCTCCTATGGGTAGCGTTTCCGGGTGATTCTGAGGCTGTCTCGCGTGTGCTGCTAAGCGAGGTGAGTGTGAGGCTGCTCCGGGGCCGTGCTCTGCCCGGGCCGGGGCGGCTGTGGTGTCGCTTGTCCAGGAGATTTCCAGGCCCGGTTGGGGCATTGCCCCCATCCCAGCTTCGTGCTTCGCGGGGGTTCAAAATACCCCGATACGCGGAACAGCAAGGGGGCCGCCGGCCCAGCCTGCAACAAGCGCGCTGCTGTTTTTCTGCGCTCAAAAAGGGCGGGATAGGAGGCTCGTTTCCACGGAAACCGGGGTCTCCGTGGCAACCAGCCTTAGTGATGAGCTGTGGGAGGGTTCTCCTTGGCAACCAGCCCCAGTGATGGGTTGCGGGGGGCGGTCTCTGTGGCAACCAGCCCCAGGGACGGGCTGGTTGGGCAGTGGAGTCTGCTGCAGGCCTGATCCCGCCAGATTTTGCCTGCCCTGGATCTATGAGCTGGCATTTTCCAGGGGGCACTTTGAGCCTAGAAAGGCTGGGAGCCCTGGGGCTGTGCCAGCCATGCAGCTGATCCAATACAACATCTTGCCTGCAAGAAATCTGCCATCTCGCATCTCTCCTGCGCTGTTGCGGCAACGGCATGACCTCAAAACTACAAAAATGGAAAAATTGTAACTCTGCTTTAAATGTTGGAGGCTGCAAGGGGGAGAGGAACATGGTTCCATAGACTGCAAGGGGCTGGAAGGGACCTCAGAAGATCATCGGGTCCAGCCCCCTGCACCTGGCAGGAAAGACAACTGGGACTGGGTGCCCCCGGCGGGGTCCCCACCCAGTCCCCTCTTGAAGGGGGGGGGGGGGTCGGACTAGATGATCTACTTAGGTCCCTTCCGACCCTAGAAACTACGAAACTATGAAGGTTTCCAGGGTAGGTGACTGCACCGTCTCTGGAGGGAGCTTATTCCCCAGTCTGGACACCCTGACTGTGACGAAGTTTTTCATAGAGTTGAGCCTGAAACAGTCTTCCAGGAGTTTGTGGCCATTACTCCTGGTTTTCCCCTCAGGTTCCCTGGTGAACAGTTGCTCACCAAGCCCTTGATGTATTCTCCTGATATAGTGGTAAGCTGCTACTAGGTCCCTTCTTGGCTGTCTCTTTTTTTAGGCTGAAGAGTCCCAAGTTCTTCAGCCTTTTCTTGTATGGCTTGTCACGCAAGTCTCTGGTTGTACGGGTGGCTCTTCATTGGACTGTCTTAAGCTTTACCACATCCTTGTTGAAGTGCAGCATCCAGAACTGGACGTAGTCCTCCAGCTGCGGTCTCACCAGTGCTGAGTAGAGCAGGAGAATCACTTCTTTGGTTTTGCTGGAGATGCATCAATTGATGCACGCCAGGGTATTGTTTGCCCTGCCGGCTCATGTTCTTCCTGTGGTCTATTATTACCCCCAGGTCCCTTTCATTTGTGGTGCTGGTCAGTTTGGCCACACCAAGCCTGTAGGGGTGTTGGGGGTTGTTTGTCCCCAGGTGGAGCACTTCACATTTCTCAATGTTGAACTTCATCTGGTTCCAGTCCACCCAACTTGCAAGACTGTTTAGGTCCGCCTGTATGTGCAGCCTGTCTTCAAGCATCACCATGCTTCCGCATAACTTGATGTCATCTGCGAACTTGGCCAGTGAGCTCAACAGTGAGTTCCACAAACAGTGGAAGGAGCCCTGATCTGAGCCTGTTCACTCCCTTCCAGCCTCCTCTCTCTGGATGAGGTGGGCCTAGGGTCTGACCCACTAAATGGCAGTGCTTATGTTCCTATGTAAGCTCCTCGCTCCACTCATGTTCCATGGGGTTATGGTGTGATGCATGTTTGCCTTTGTTGGCTGATCCTGCTCTGTTTTTCTGTTTTCTGTTCTCTGATGTGTAATATATCTGAAATGGGTTTCTCTCTCTTTGAAGGAATACTTAGCTTTGACTTGTGTGTTTGTTTCATTCTGTGAGTAACATCCTGTCGCACCTGAAATGGGATGGGAGGAATTGCAAGGCGACTATAAACAGTGGTTTAGAATGGGAAATGAAGAATGCTATTGCATGGTTGGTATTTCAGGTTTTGCAGGGAAACTTTAGAAGTAAAATGTAAGGACCTCAATCAGAATTTGGGCATGCTAGCACATTTTCACGTGCCCCCCAGGGAAGTGCTGTAACTTTGATTCACCACTGGGTGTCAGAACCTCTGTCTAAAATGACCCATTCAGCTGTCAGCATCCTCTAATTCAGCATTTCTCAACCCATGGGTTGTGACCCAAAAGTGGGTCGCAAGAATGTGTGAAAGGGCCATGAAAAATCTTTAAAAATGGATTTTAAGAGAGAAAAACATGGAAAATAGTGGATTTTGTCTTGCAGGCTGTCAGAGTTCCAGCCTCCAAGGACCTGCTTGAGGCTTCTCCTGCCCCACATGCACCCCCTTTACCCCGCACACTAGGGGGTGGGGGGCAGTGGGTCAGGAGTGAGGGACACTAGGTCAGGGCTGGCCATAGATGTTTACAAATGGATCCGGATTTAAAAAAAAAAGGTTGAGAAGCACTGCTCTACCTAAACATACATGTGTTGATCCAGAATTAGCACAAGTGATAGCTGCAAAATACAGCACCAGTTCCTGCAGCTGTTGGGGCACTGCTGTAACAACCTGCGTGAGGTTATGAGGTCTGACCCTGTAGCGGTTTGTCTAAAGCAGGGCTGTCCAGCTGTCCCCAAGGGATTAATCTGTGGTCCCTGGGCTCATGGTCTGGGGACTGCTCCTTTCTTTTCTTTTTGTTGCTGCTTCTCAAGTCCCTGGGCTGTCCTGTCTTCCTGCAGCTTCTGCTGCAGGTACCCACTCATGAGGGTGGGGTGGAGTGGTACCACCAATGGGGCTGAGGGAGCCTGTGGCTGGAGGCATTCAGGAACCGCATGCGGCGTCTGCATTGAAATTGAAATGATTTAAAATAAGGTTTCCTACTTGCTGATTTCAAATGGTTTTGGTTTAAATCAATTTGGCTTGTTTACTGGGAATCAGTTCAGATCATGTCCAAGGTTAATGCATCATCATTAATGTGTATAAAATACTCAGTTACAAGCCTGATAATGTATAAATGTTAGAGAGTTGAAAACATGTTAAGAATTCTGATAACTGATGTATTGTATTGCTGACATCTTGGAATGCATAGACATGTTCTCAGAGGCCAGTGTTTTATTTCTAAACTTTTAGTTGCCGTCAGATAATGTGTTTATCATTTCCTAACTCCAAAGAAATCAAACTGCTTTCTCTTTGGCTTCAAGACATCTTATTGTCATGTCACTCCAGCTCTGATGTAGAACAGTGGTGACAGTTGCAGATCTCATTACTGTTTGTTTCTTTTTCCTCTAGAAATGCAAGTATGGCATCTACTGAAGAAAGCTTCCCTCGAGGTGGTACCCAGAAGAAACCCGAAAAGGGGAGAGCACCCAGGCAGTCAATAGAGCAGGATAACTTATTTGATGTGAGTTGCTTTCACTTGCTGAGCAAATCTGCTTAAGAATTATTCCAGTGCTGGATAAAGTGAGGAGCTGGTTCTGTGGTCCTTGTTTCCATGTACCTTTGACATTCTTGTCTGAGTACAGTTTGTAGTATTCAGCTCATTAATACTGGTCTTCATCATGGAGCCTAGGATTTAAATGACTCTTAAAAGTACCGCTGGTGTCTGACACTTGCTGACTGTTTTGGCAAACAGTTAATTCAATGTAATGAACAAATCTTTGCCTTTTTTCATATCTCGTGGGTGTCTGAGGCTGTGCAGTCTGCCTCGAGATAGCAGCGCTGAGCCAGATTCAGCCCTGGTGTAATGACATTGCTCTTGGTGGATTTGCATGAGGGAGAAATTTGAACAAACCTTTGGGTTTCTCATGTTCTGTGGAGCCTTCAGGGTCCGTTACTTTGCTATTTTGAAAGTGTTTCAAAATTTAGCAAAGTTGCTTGCTGAGGAGTGTGGCCCCCTCGGAGAACCAAACATTTATTGTTGCTGTCGCATCAGGTGCTACAACTGTCTTGTGAGCTCAGAACATGTTTGAGTGGACATTTGGTTCAGAATCTAGGCCCTTGGTAAATCTGGTTTGGCCATTCTGGGAATACCTATGTAAATAAGGGCCTCCTTTAGGGTTTTGACAGGAGGGGTGACTATAGGTTTCTTGCTGTTTGGCTTTAACTCTATAATGACTTTGCTCAAACTGTTTTGTACCAAGTGTGTGTGAGAGAGAGAGGAAGAAACTTGAACAGATACAAAGACTTGAGTGTAGGAGACTGCAGAGGAATTCTCTTGTCAGCCTGAACTCTCTAGTGTTTTGCTCTGAACTGGAGTGGTTAGTAACTTTGTTCTTCCATCATGTAGTTGTTGTGGAGCACAGCAACCATCTCTTGAAATTCTTTTTTTCTACCCCTTAAAATCTGCCTTAGACCCACCATGAGGAAGGATCTCAGAAAAGGAAGAGGAACCAGGAGCAGCCAGAAAAGCGGAAAAAACTCAAGGCGGAGAAAAAACAAGCTGTTAAAGACAGTGCCAGAGATTTTGACCTGCTCACAGTTGAGGTTTGTGCAGTATTGTTCAGAGGCAAGTGTGTTGGCTGCTTTGCTAATGATGCAACTGTGAGGTTTCTTTTTCCTAGGTCGTCTTGCAGCCACCAGCCTTCAGGCCAGTGAGAGCTGGTTGTCTTTTCACAGCCTCTCCTTAACTGACCTGAGGGGTGAATACAGCAGGCAGGGCTCTGCTGATTAGTCGGTTATTTCCCTCTTCCAAGCAGTAGTATCATATCTTAGTGACATGAACTCAGAAAACACCTATCTTACTTGAGGTTTCCTCTAGCAATGCAGGCAGAACATTGATGTGTTTATTTGTCTTCAGATGTACAGTAAACAGCTCCTGAAAGAGACCTGGCTTCATTAAAGGTCTGGTCCCAAACCAAACCCACTATACCACTAAATTGGCCATCAGACAACTGGGCCACCAGCTTGAATGTTCAAGCTTGCCCTCACCCTGCGAGATTTCTCATTCTTTCCCCACTATCACGTTGGTGTTTCTGTCATATTTTCCCCATCTGCAGGAGTCCTCATGAGTCTGAACAGGGAATACCAGGCTTGTGTCTTCTCCCCACATGCACATATTTAACCTTTAATTGCCTGTGCTCTGTCACTCCACTTCCTCGTTGTTCTCTTATCTCAGAAAGGAGGCACATGGTAAAAAAACCATATCAAATACTGAAAGGTCTTGAGGAGATGATCAGGGGCTCCTGTTTTCCATGTCTCTTAACACAAGAGCAAGGGCATAGATTCACAGAAGTATAGAGCTGGAAGGGACCTCATGAGATTATCGGGTCCTGTCCCCCTGCTTTGGGCAGGAAAGAGTGCTGGGGTAAAATAATCCCAGCAAGGTGTGCGTCCAGTCTCCTTTTGAAGATCTCTAGGGT